ACACCTCATGGTGTAGCACCCAGCTGTGGCGGTTCTGGGTCCCTGGGGTTTAAAAAGCTGTTGCTGTCTTTGTGAGGTCGATGTCAGCAGCTCCTGTTGTCCAGCGGCTCCTGGTGTCCAGCAGCAGCCGCTTCTCCCGAGCAATGTCACGGCCAAAAACATGTGGCTGCATGTGATCATGCCCGGGGATGGCTCAGTTCGGGCTCCTGCCACGTCCCTGACACTGAAGATCAACAGGTATAGCCACAGGTAACGTTTCTATGAATTTACCTGTGTGTCATATATACACATGCCAGCTTTTCTTTGTCTTAAAATCATATTTTGGGTAAGTGCCTCTCTCCATGTTATAGAAATGCTACTATTTCTGCTAGTTATTTCTGAATACAGTAAAAAAGGTGGCTGTTAGTTGCTCCTGCATTCAGCAAATTACAGTTTACATCCTATCTGAATGGTATTTTTATGGTTAGCTTTCTTGGATGACCTACTAACTCACATTTTTAAAAAACGCAGCATTTCCTTGTGTGACTTTTTTAATTAAGTCTTTCAAGTGCAATGGCTTGATTTTAAAATAAGGCAATCGGTAACTGTTTTCTATACTGGTGTACTGTTACTTGCTCCATGTTTCCCACATTTTGGCACTAAGCTTTGTTTGTGGGAGGTTTGAAGCAGGAGACGGCTTTTTCCCATGGGGTGGACTGGGAAATGCCACTCGTGAATCAGTTACCCACTGGTGCAGTTGTGGCAGCAGCTGCTCTATGGGGAGGTTTGTTCCTGTTGGGATGTGGGAGAGCTTGGAAAACCCCAACCCCAAACACAGCCAAACCCAGTGAGGGATGGGCAGCCAGGGAGGGCTCCGGGATGGGAAATGTGTGATTCGCAGGCAAAGAAAGTGGGGGTCTTTTCCCAGGACTTTTGTTGATTTTCTGGGCTTATTTGTGTGGAGGAAAAGGGCAATTAACATAGAAGAGGAAAGATGAGCGCTGGGAGATGAATGAGAGTGAAGCATTTGATTTTGGTTACTGCACTCATGCTGCTGATCCTGGCTATGGTTAAAAACCTCAGGTGTCTGACGGCACACGTCAAAGCCAGCTGTTTTGCCCAAAAGAGTAAATGCTCACTGCACTATTTATTTTTTTAACTTAAGGGCTCCACAGCTGCAGGTTACATATGGAGGGAGCACACTTTAAAGCAGAAATCAAATGAAAAGAGGAAAAAACAAACCGAACCACACAGACACATATAGCTATATAAAATTATCATTTTTTTAAAGCATTTGTCTAAAGAATAAACTGGTCTGAGCTACAGTCTGGTCTGTTCCCTGATAGATTTCCCCCCGTTAATGCCTGTTTGCCATACACCGTGGTGCTGTCTCTGACGAGGCTGTAGATATACAACACCTTGTACAACACCAACACACTTGCACAGCTTCATGTAATCTTCGTATCTGCACAATTAATTGGTTCCATGTAAGAACCTCATCCATCGACAGAAAAGCAGCCACCATGGGAGCGCAGCTGTGACATAAAGCACCAAAATCTTTGTCCCTGTTCTCTTGGATGCTTCGCCCACAGGGAGATGTGGCACAACCACCTTCCCAAAATTTGCTTTTTTGGCACATAGAGAAATTACCAAAACCTTCTGCACATTTCCATTAATATAAAATGAGTGACAAACTGAATGCGATCAGGAAAAGATACATCTTTAAGGCTCAGTGTTTAAATTAGATTGCGGGGTTTTTTTCTTCTTTTTAGTAGTGCTGTTTCCTTATTGCTCTTGTTTGGCTCTAAAATGACTGTCATATTTTTCAGCTCAGGGCAGTATATTTGGGAAATGCAGGGCGCACCGCACAGACTCCAGCTACCAGAAAACCAAACCCGTAACTGATGCATCTCACGGCTCCGGGCTGCTCTGCACAGACAGGGGTGGGTTTGGTGCAGGGACACATTTACACCCGCACCCTCCAGGGCCTGAAGGAAAGCATAGTCGTGCAGATCCTGCGTCTGGAGATGCTGAAGCAGCCCCATGGGTGGGTGATGGCAGAGGATCCCTTCCAACTGAAGTGCAGACCTTGAAACTAACTGCAAATAGAAATTAAATGTAGATGTTTGGGTCTAAACACTCCTCCAGAAGCAGAGAGCAAGCACTGTGCCACATTCCACAGCTCAAGATAAGGAGGGACCAAACTGCGCTGGTCCTGGATCAGCGACCAGAACACAGAGGCCTTCCCCTTGTCACAAGCCCCATGATGTATTTTGCTTATAGCTTAACTTGTGCTCCAGTCGAGCTTTCACCCACTACAGCCATACTGCGTCAAAACGAGATGGTCCAACCCATCACAGATTTGGATAGCTTTCTAATAAACAAAACAGAAAAAATAGGACCCTACTTGTACTTCAGTGTTTTAAGTACTTTTTCATATGCACAGTGATGTTCAGTTTTGTCTTTTTATTGATGATCCGGCTCCATGGGATGCAAACATCTTGGGCAATCTGTCAAGTTAAAACTCTCCAGAGCCTGAGCTTACCTTGTGCCAAGTGACACAGCCCCAGACATTCCTGCTTTTTCTAATTTAGGTGGTGAATGAAGGCATACAGCACGCCTGCAGCATCCCCGATTACTTCAGCCTGCAGGAAGGAAGAGGCCCTGTGCCCAGGTAATGTCTGGACCAATGCTTCCCAGCATCACCACCGCACCTGCGGCTGAGGAGGCAGCCTCCAAAGACTGAAAGGTGGGTACCCACTGCCGCCTCTGGTTGCTAATGTTCTGTAATAACAGAGTTAACAGATTGGTGTATTATCAGTAACTATTATTTCTCTTTTAAAAGGAAACAGGATAGTTAAAATGTGCAAAGATATACTTCAGTGTAAATGAATTTATTAATAACTTGAGGCAGTTTGTTTCTATTTTTTAATTTATTTTGTCCTATCTTGGTCTGTCCCTAGAGGTCACTCTTCTGGAGCCTCATCCACACATAACCAAGCTGTGGATTTTTAGAAATTAACTAAATCAGTTCAGGTTTATTCCTGCTCTTCATTTAAACTAACAACTTTCATTTTTTTTAAAAGAGCTTGGTTAACATGCTGTCAGTGACTCTTATGATGAGTCAAGTTGCTAATTTTTAATCTTAGAACAAGCAGGATTTAAAAGTTAACAAGAGACAAGAACCATCAGCTCCTTCAGGAATGGAAACTATCCATAATGGTTATCTACACTTAGGAAAAATGAACGAATAAAGGAAAGGTGGAAGTGTGATGAGATCAACTGGCCTACAGTTTCAGCAGCTCTTCAACTTCAGATGTCATTATAGAAAGGATGCAGAAAAGCAGCAGCTATAGTTACCCTAAGGCAAATGTAAAACCAACGTGAGGGTCTGGCCAAAAACCCAACTCGCAAAATCAGGCAGCACGGGCAACGCTGGCGGGGGTGAAGGAAACCTCCTTGAGTTTATTTGTTAACCTAATGAAGAGCAGGGCTGACCTAGTACCGAGGCACAGCTACAGCCAGCGCACACCCAATGACCTCCACTGCATCAGTTCTGACTAAAAACACCCAACAACAGAAAAGTTCTCTGAACAACTTCAAACCATCCAGATTCCACTATTTCATTTAATTGTGGAGTTTGAAATATTTCTGAAAGATCTTGCAGATGCTGTAGCAATAGAGCATTTCTTCACATCAGGCTGCAGCAACAGCCGGTTCAGACTGCCCAGCACCACCACCCACAGCTGCCACCAGCACCGCTCCGCACGCCCAAAGGAAGACCCCAAAGCTCAGGTCTTCTGCTGGCGCTTCCCACTTTCAACATGGCATTTTCACAGCTGAACACACAAATATCTACAAAATCATTCACAGCAGCAAAAGGTGAATTCTCCCGCTTCCTCTGTTCATAGAGAAATGGGAAAACTGATCCCGGATTACTTTAATCCTGCACTGAGTTTGAGCTGAGCAGAAGAGGATGTTTCATAACTAGGCACAGACTTGCTCTGGTTCAGGCACCCTGAAGCTGTGCCATCCTTCAAATTAAAGGAAATAATTTCTTTAATGGGACTTGATGCAAGTCAAGTTGCATTTTAAAATAAGACAACTGAGCAGTATTTTAAATTGCCAAGTTATGGTAAGATCTAAATTAGCATTATTTAGCAAAACTGGCAAAATACCTGGCAAAACTTCAGCAGTAAGGCTGTCCTACTGGCACATCAGCCCCAACTAATAAACCAAACCCAGTTTGTCCACTGCTGTGCATGCAGCTCTGTGTTGTGCAGAGCTGTGGAGCTGCCTGAGGTACTGGACGCAACACACAGATACAGCATTCACCCCAAGTACTTCACTGAGAAGTGAAGTATCTTAGGATAAAACAAAGCCAGACAAGCTCCACTGGAGATTTTTGTGAAGAAAATGCAGCAGGGCAGTATTAGCCCAGACAAACCCCTGTGCAGCGCAAACATCACTGTGCTGCTAGGATCAGCTCAGACACCTGTGAGCAGCATTTGAAGCAGCACCAACATTTAACTCACACCTCCAAAGCATGATTTCTCTCTGCTGCAAGCAAGTGCAGTGTATCCGACCTGCTCTGCAACCAGTGCTGGCACATGAACAGTTTGAAACACTGACTACTGCTGTGCACTCCATTGAATCCCAGTCTCTGTTCACATGCAGTTTGATACAGGTCAGATAAAAGACTGACCTAGCTTTTACTGTAAAAATGCAGACTCTGTTTAAGTATTGCATATTAGTAACCATCCTGCCCACCCCCCAAAAAAAAAAAAAACAAAAACAAAACACAAAACAGAGCAGCACTGCTTTGTGTGCACTTAAAGAAACTATATTTGGGGTATTTCAAGACCCATCTAAGTCTATTAAAGGATTTTTTAAAATCAAGACAGATAGGAGCACTTCAGAGCATGGTGCAGGGCACCCCAGTAAACCAGCGACCTTCTCAAACTGCAGATTCAGGTTGAGCACTGGACAACAATCACAGTTCAGCCATAAACACAGCAACATTTTTGCTTCACATGCTACAGCAGAAACTTTATTCAGTTCATTCTGAAAATATTTGCAACCAAAATTTATTTTTTGTAAACTCACAGAAATAAGCTTTAACATATAGGCTGTATACAACTCAAATACAGGTAATACTTTTCAGCAATAACTTACAGATACAAACTAATGATAAACTAACATTTCACAAAGAATTGTAAACATTTTGCACAATTGTCAGTCCTTTCTTTTAGGCAAAGTGCTCTTTTGATGACAAATAAATTAACACACACAACTAGAGTGGACTACTTCCAGACAATACAAAAAAAAAAGGTATTTAATAAGGCTTGTAAACAATGTAATAGTTATTTATGCAGAATCCATAAAAGTGTCTTGCAGGCTAAATATACTTACATACCTGGGCAGCAAAAATGATCTTGAAAATGCTTCAGATGTTAAAGAAAAAGTTAACATTAACATCTTTCCAATGATATTTTAATACACAATAAATGACTCAAGGTTACATCCGTAGTAGCTTATGTCCCTGACAGGAGCTAGGTGTGACTTATCGGCAGCTGTGTCATCGAATGGGGTAGCAACGGCTGAAGTCCAAGAGCTGTAGGGGAATGAGCTGCAAAAGCAGGAATATTTACTCATCAGATTCATTGGGAGGCAGAAGTAGTAAATCCCACTAGGTAGTAAAGGTTTGCTGGTCCCAACCACCACAGGGCACTGTCTGCCCACCCAGCATTCCTAGAACCACTAAGGTTGGAAGAGACCTCCAAGATCATTGAGTCCAACCATCAACCCAACCTCACCATGGCCACTAAACTGTGTCCCCAAGTGCCACATCCATGCAGTTCTTTAGCACTCCTCCACCTGCAGCCCACCTCACACCACTGCTGTGGAGAAAATTCAGCTCTAGCCACACATGCAACTTAGAGCCAGGTTCTCCCAAAGCCCTCACAGCATCTTCTAATGGCAGCTACGACCAAAGCTGTTGATCTGTGGGGTCACAAGGCACACAATGGCTCAAACACTTCTGATGGCCAGGCTCCCCCCACCATGTGCCACCCTCAAGGGCAGCTCCAGTTCTCGGTGATGCTGCTGGGCTGAGTCTTACTACAATCCTCAGTAAGAGTCAGGGAGCAGGTGGTAAACAGCTTCCATTAAAATCATGTATTATTAAAAAACATGGCATGGATGTCTAAAGAAGTGCTTTGGTTTTTATTACTAGTATTCCTAGCTTGGAGGAAGCGCAAAACGTGGTCTTCACACCCAGACCCTCAGCCGTGCTCTTACAGTGAAGGGCTACTGCTTGAAGAAGCACACTTAGTGAGGCATAGAGCAAGTACCACATTAAGATATTCTATAATGTATACTAGCAACTAAAAATCCACTAAGTTTCTTTAATCAGTACTTGGCAAACTGTTCTCACTACCATCAGTGAAGACTTCAGGTGGACATGCAGAGCAGTCACACCTACCATCCATGTAGCTGTGCAGAGCTGTCAGCATGGTCCCGTCCTGGGGTACATAGGCAGAGTACGCCATTTCCTCCAGCATGGGAGGAGACAGCCGTGAGGGCTGCACCGCTGTGACAGGCGTCGTCGAGGAGTGATTAGGGCTAACATGTTTCTTATGGCGCGCTCTGCAATTCTGAAACCACACCTGAAAAAGGGGGAAAATTTACATCACATTGATAGAAGCATATAGTTTTTGCTATAGAAAAAATAATTATGTATAAAAAGAGCAGGCACATAATGTTTGCTGAGAGGCACCTTCAAGCAAAGGTTCAAAGTTTGTGTTTCTCTCAGGCTTTGGTTGTACAGGTGTATATTTTAGCTCTGCTCTCTAAAGCAGATCACCAGATACTCATTTACTCCTAATGTGCCACACCACCAGCCATTTCCAAAAGGAGCACAGCTCTTAAGAGCAGGCTATTAAAGTTAGAAATTTATATTTAGAAGAGCTTAGTGCCCATTTCTATACTAAGGCTGAAAAGTTTCTTCCTGGAAGATTACTAATCCTCCACACAAACTGCAAGATGAATACAGCAATTTTTCAAAATTAACATTTGTTCAAGGCCTATTCCTGACTAAGGATGTTGTCAAAAGTTACATTAAAACTGCCAGATTAGATCTTTTGTCATGTCAGGATGACCACACAGAGTATTGTCGTTGGGCGCTTCCAGCAGACGAGCACCGGTTCAGTGGCTCAGGGGTACCTGTATGACGCGCCGGCTCAAGCCTGTCCTTTCTGCCAGCTTCTGAAGTGTTTGTGCATCCGGGTTGTTGTCCTGAGCAAACTGTGCCTGCATCACCTGTGAGGACAGGAGCACAGATCACGGGTTCTGTGAGCAGCCCTGAGAGCTGAGACCCCTCTCATAGTGCTGTCCTACTCCTCACCTGGTTTTTAGCAGCTGCTGTGACCACCAGTCCCCAGACAGTCCCCAGTACATGAAGGAAAACAGTAAAATCCCCCAAAGCCAAAATACAAGCCCCTTATTATGCTTAACTGAGCCAAGACATTCATCAGAAATCAAAGAAATTAATTCTGCTTAGCAGTAGTGAAAATGGAGGAGGGACTCTGTTACGATTGCATTAAAAGAAAATTCCCTGCAAAGCAATTCAAACGGGCTCAATTAAAAAAAAAAATCCATCGCAGCAGACCACAGCATAAGGAAGGGGTGATCCTAGATCCACCTCTCCAAACTCCTCAGTTGGAATTTGCATCTTGTACCATATGGAGCAACTCCACCCCTCCTCAGCTGCATGAAAGACAGACAGCAGGGAATGAGCTCTGTGCCCCAGGCACCTTTAACCAACCCAGAGACACAGAGGGTCCACCTTGGCCAACCTGCACCATGTAAGTGTTTGGTTACGCTTGTCTTTCTATGGAAAAACTGAAGTGAACATTTGTCATTAGGACATGGATTACATTTTTTGAGAAAGTAGATGTCAACTTTGCTGCACCCTGAACAGTTTTAGAGCCTGTAGGAGTTCACATTATTTAAGGAAGTTAGGTTTCATGGATTTCTGCAGGGTATCTTCTGCAACTTTGTCAACTGTAGTTTCAGTATTCTGCCCCTTGGTCTGCAATTTTTGCCTGCCTTCATCTTTTAAGATTCAGACCATTTCTCTCCACATTCAGAAATGCTGAAACTATTTACTTCCCTACTGTTTCATACAAAGACACCCAAAAACATAGATGCCCTTCTGCACAAGCACTCCACGAGGGGTGTCCCTGCACGCTGCCCTCTGACAGCCCCTCTCCTCTCTGGCTGGCAGCACGGCCTTACACCAGCATCAGGGATGGGTACATGGACATGCGCTGAGCAGGGGACGTTCAATAACACGAGGCCCCGAGATCCCAAACCCCTGCTGAAGTAGGTTAAAACCTATTTAAAAGGGGAAAAGAGGCGAAACGTGGGAGTTTCAATGACAGCAAAGGGGAAGCAGCTCTGAACACAGCCCCTACCCTCATGGCTGGGCTGACAGCCCATTCAGCTACTGCTGAAAGAAAAAGTTCCCTTTTACAGTCACAGAATAATTAAGGTTGGGAAAGCCCTGCAAGATCATCAAGTCCAACCGTCAACCCAACCCCACCACAACATCACATCCCAAAGTTCCACATCCACACAGTTTGTGAACCCCTCCAGGGATGGCGACTCCACCACTGCCCTGAGCAAAACTTGTAGATGTTCGAGTTTGATGCCCAGAGCCCTTGCCCTGTGCCCTTGTCAGACTACTGCCACTGTGCTTGTTTTCTGTCAACACCACCACCAGTGTCTGAGCTCATGTAAAGAGATATTGAGAAATACACTTCAATGAGGCACGTTCAAGAACAGACTGGACAGCACAAGAATTGCTGCTAAGATCTTCAATTGCACTTTCGCTCTATTTCAATCCACCCAGCTCTATGAAAAAATAGCGGGGGGTTTTCCCCCCAAAATGTGCCGCATCAAATACCAAAGCTAGGTTTTGAAACATAACACTTTAGTGTATTTTTAACAGGCAAAGGTCATTTTGAAGAAAATCGGCACGTGAAGCATTTTGGAAGGGCTGGGAGAAAGGGAAGGAAGAAGGAAGGAAAGCAAAGACAAGTCCCTGCTGATGCCCCTCTTCCTCGGATACAGAAGTACAGCCAAGACCACAACACGTGCTCCAAAGAGCAAGCATTGAGAACCATCCGAGGAGGAAAAGGGCAATCAAGAATACACAACTATTCCCTGTCTTCTCTATAAACCAAAGCAAAATAAGAACCAGTCACTGACGGGAGTCAACCTGCGTCCATGTGAACACAACCACAAACCATGATGAACATGACCCTCCTCAGCCCTTACTGTGCATTACAACAAAACTCAAACTTCCACCCTGGTAATGTCTTGCAGCTACATACAGTACCCATCTTCAGTACAGCTCTTCATATTACATAATTCTAAAAATATTTTGTCTTTATTATGTGTAGCGATGTAAATGCCTGATTAAATAGATTTCATCGAGCAATCAAAACAGAACAACCTTTTTGTTTCCACTCTGCAGAATTACTGGCTGCCCCCAGGGAAATAAAAAGCTTGAAGAGTAACTATTTCATATTAAACTGCTGAAGCTAACAAACAATTCCAGAAACATGCTGCGTCTTGACAGTTTATGAAATAGTTTAAAACATGCAAGCTTTTTCTTTCCCCCCATATGCATCCAATTTCCTATTGGTGCAGGATGTCGTTCCTGCACCAACCTGAACCGTGTGAGTTTTTAGCGCTGCCTGTACCTGGAGCTGATCTGCTGTGAAGCTGGTCCGAGCTCTTTTTGCGGGTTTTGGGTGATTCACATCTTGTTCTGTTAGTAATGCTCCTTCCACAGTAATCCCATTACCTGAAGCATTAAAAAGAAAACACCATCTGCTAAACATTCAAAATGATGCTATTTGTAAGTCAGACTGTCCTTCAACTACAACCAACAGTCACTGGCCAGCTGAATTTCAACATTAAAAGCCATGTTCTGTTCAAAGTTAATTGATCTGGCACCATTACCCATTACAGCCCAACTGACTCCCTCATGAGCAAGGAAAGGAACGGATCCAGCACGATATTTTATCAACCAGATACGCTCTTGCTTTCTTTTCCTTAGGATAGAATACAAGTTATACAAACTTAAAAAAATTAACACCAAATAATTTGCACATTATTTTAATTCAAGAATTTGTGCTTCCAGCCTTAGTGAAGCTAGGTAATTACCTCTTAATAAGGAAGATGATGTAAAATCCAACCATTTTATTAAAACCAAACCACAAACGCAGCTCTTAACAAAAGAAGCACATTACCGTTTTCAACTTCTCTCTTCAGGTTGTCCAACATGCAGTCGTAGTGCACCCTGCACAGGACCTTCTCCTCCACCAGTGCGAACTCCTCCCCGGTGGAGAGCTGCCTCTTGCAGGAGAAGCAGGCGAAGCAGGCCAGGTGGTAGACGTTCCCCTTTGCCCGCCGCACCCAGTCGGTGGCATGGATGTGCCGGCCACAGCGGGCGCAGCGTGTGCCGTAGCGCCTGCAGACAACATGGCCAAGGGTGGCACCCACACTCCCAGAAGATGGGGTGATGCCGGGATTACAGGTGACCGGGATGCAGCAGCGCAGCTGGGAGCCACAGCAGCCGAGAGCCGCAGCAGCCGAGCACAGGGGATGTGGGGACTGAATAATCGTGGTTTTATTGCAACACAAAGCAGCAAGTTTGTATCTGGTCGCTTAAGACACAACCACCACCCAGCTACAGAAATTACTATTTCGGCAATGAGTAAATCCGAAGCATCCTAACTGTTATATGAATTCACTACTCTTCATCTTTCCTTTCATAAAGATGATTACTCTTCAAAAAGCTGCAAGTGGGAGAAGGAAATGGCTGACCTTGTGTTCTAAGTTCTCCCAATTATTCAAATATATTTCACATTACTCTAGTGGTAGGTTGAATTATTATATTTAGCTATATTACCCTTCAACTAATCACTCAGTTCCCTTCAGCAGCAGAAGGGGGGAAAACCTGTATCTTTGTAGTTATTTCCTTAATTACCATCACATTATGATTTTAAAAGACATTCAAATATCTGCAAGTATTTACATTAGTACAGCAGTATGTTTCTCTTTGAAGAGGAAACTAGACACCAAGATACGCTGATTATGTAGATAGGAATTTGTTCTAAAAACCTTTGCAGACTCCTAACTTCTTTTTCTGAAGTCCCACAAAACTTTGTTTTTCCAGAAGTTTGCAGTACTCAGCCTGCCCCACCCCACCTTTCACTGTCCAAACTGACCAGTGGAAGATAGTCCATTCACTGCACACCTGAGAACCTCATGAATAGTTTGGTCTGGGGAAGTACAAGCAATCACACCAAAATTAACCGCGAAAAATTTTGCTACCTTCTGAACCAAGGATTTTGTATCACGAGTACTTTCAATGCCAGCACAAATAAATTTTGACCTTAATCTTGAAGAATGCTTCATGTCCTGCACCAAATTGATCAATGCTGCTGCTAAAGACCACAGGGTTTGTTCTGGGCTGTTGTTCCAGGTCCAAGTGATCCCCAAACCCTGCACCATTGGAGCGTGAGTCCCAACAGGACAGAGCCTCAGCTCTGTGTGGTCCTGGCCAGTGTCACCCTCAGACGGCTCCACACACAGACAACGGGTTTACAGCCACGCGTGGCTCTGCACACAGACAGCGTGTTTACAGCCACAGACAGCCCACGCACAGACAATGGGTTTACAGCTGCGGATGGCCTCACGCACAGTCCCTCCGCAAGAAACGGCCATTTAGCTACTGAAAATAAAGCTGGTAAATAAAAAACAGAGTCTAAACAGGTGTTTCAGTTGTGGCTCAAGTAACAAGCAAATGTGACTGTTACAAAAGAAAATTATATTCCTGTATGGCATACCTGAAATAATCAAGTTTGCAGAAGATATCTTTGTCTTTGATGTAGCAGCTGGTGTGCCTGCCCAGCGAGGTCCTGCAGACACTGCAGGAGAGGCAGCGCACATGCCAGCAGAGGTCATTTACCTGCAAAACACACCAGAAAAATATCCTCACTCTTTGTACTACCAACGCCATATTTCCGATTTACAAAAACTATTTTTTCCATACATACAGACAAGGCCAAAAATTACACATACCCCAATTCACAAAAAAATTCTTTCCAAGGCAAAACATTTTTCCTAGAGAGCTGCATGTATACTAAGGGTTAATTAATTTGATAGAGGTCTTCAGAATAAGCTTTCATGGTTTTGTAATTAAAAGCACCAGAAGAGGAAGCAAGCGATTCAAGTTCTATGTAGATATTTTGTGCCCAGTTTTGTGCTCAGAGCATTACAGCAACAGAGCAAGCTCTGGCCTCGTGTGACCTTGGGAGGGCAGATAACTTACATACTTCTATTTCCCAGTCTCTACAAAGTCCTGCCTAACAAAGAACAAACTTTGCAAAGTGATTTGAAATTTTAAAATGCAAATACTGAAAGAAAACAAAGAAGTCTGTCAAATGGAAACATACCATGAACCACACCTTCATTTGTCAGATTTCTGTTAGAGCAAGTTTAGTGAATGAAGTGAGTTTCAAAACATCAGCAGTCGTTTTAATAGCAAATTCAACAATTATTTAAGATGCAATGTCCCTGGTGAAACTAAAGACAGTCACAGAAAGTAGTAGAAACCAGTAGTTTTGAAAACCCATGCATAATTTTGCGGCAAATAAATTGAGTGCAATTATTTTCCTTTCTTCATTCCTATAAAGAAAAGTCTCTGACGCACAGAAATTGTGCATCAGCTAAATAACTGTAATAATTTGAAAACCCAAGACTCCCAGTGACCATAAAAATTAAGTAATAACCTTCTGGATAATCCCATGCTGCACAGAAGGAATTCTGTAAGCTAAACAATGAGTAAGCTTAGATATTTAAAAAAAAGTCTGAGCCAATTTCTCCTCTCGTACCAAACAGCCCATGTATCACTCATGGCAAAGCAGCAGATCTGAGATAATCCAGGATGTGCCTTTCATCAGGAGGCTGCCAGACAAACCACAGAGAAAGCGGGGTATCGGCTCCAGGAATCGCTGGTTTCGGTCACTCTCCGGGCTACATCATCAATTCGCAGTTGCCCAACGCTCCCCCAGCTGTCACCCTTTCTGGCAGCCATCTTCCCATACACCGAATTTACCCCACAGCATAATGTGAAGCTGTTGATGGCAGCCGTCACCAAGCCGATCC